TTCAGAAGATGGTGCTGTGTGGTATGAAAGAGCCCTGAAGCCCTGCTGACCTGGGCACCTTATAGCAGGATGTTCTGCCAGCATAATTGCTAGTGGGGGATGGCCTGCCTTTCTCAACCATTTTTTTTCTCTTCCTAATTTTTACCTTCCTCCCTCTTCCCCTCCTCTCCTTCCCTCATTTGTTGAAGTGATGAGAATAAAACCTAGGACCTTGTCCACACACATTGATGTTCTACCACTGAGCCCCAGCGTTGTCTCTTTGTTAATTTAAAATTATTTTATTATTATGGGTGGTGGGAGAGCATTGCCACAGTGTGTGTAGAGGTTAGAAGACACAGTGTATCTATGGAGCCACCCCTCGCCTTCCATCTTTGTCTAGGTTCTGGGAGTGAAGCCAGGTCATCAGGTGTGGTGATTAGAATACAGATGGCCTCATAGACTCATCTGAAGCTTAGTCACTAAGGAGTGGCAGTATTTGAAAGGATTGTAAAGATTAAGAGGTGTGGCCTTGTTGGAGGAAGTGTGTCAATGGGGCTGGATTTTGAGGTTTTGGAAGCCCATGCCAAGCCTAGAGTCTCTGTCTATGTCTGCAGGTCATACTGCCATGATCAGCTTCTCTTTCTGGTTGTCCCTCCTGTGAAGTTCCTCATTCCCAGGCCCTGCATGAGCTCTGGCCTGGCCTAGAGACAGCTGTTACTCTGAGGGTCAAACACCCATGTAGTGGAGTCTCCTTCCTGCCACATACTTGCCACATGACGGAATGCAGGCCAGCATGCCCTGGGGGTAGGGCTGGCATGATAGGACTGGCATTCACACTTCTGCAGGGCTGTGCTTTGAATCATATGGGAGTCTAGGCTGTCCCTTCTTACTGTGCCCAGCGCAACCAGGATTGGGTATGGGCTCCCCGGGGAAGCATCAGGCTGCACCTGTTTTCAGATGACTCTGTATGCTCAGTGTCTAATCACGGCTGCTTTGGTTTTATAAAGTATGTCATTGTGGAGCCTCGAAAGTGCATTTTCCCAGGTCACATGCCTATGTAACTGTCCCACACCCAGCACTGCTACACATGGGCTGTCATTGTAGCAAGTTAGAATCAAGTGAAGGCCTCTCAGCCTGGAGCTCCTGGAACTTCAGCACTCACTGCTTGCATGGGCTCGCATATTGTCTGCCCTATAGCCTTGCCTTATAGGAGGATTGAATGAGTAGCTCAAGACCAGGCATGGTGCCATGCATATACTGCCAGTAGTCCCAGCCTTAGGAAGCAGAGGCAGGAGATTGCTGAGGGTTTGAGGTCCGCCTGAGATAAATCGTGAGTGCAAGATATGCCAAGAATATGTACCAAGACCCTGCCTGAAAATGAAATGAGATGGAAGTGTTGGATGTGAGACATTGAGTGAACAGTGAGGAGTGTCCTCCATCAGGAGGGGTAAGATGGTCTCGGATATCCCAGGGTTCCCTCAAACTCCACACCAACCTGAGATTGCCCTGAACTCCTGACCCTCCTGCCTCCACTTACTTGGGGGAGTTTGGGGATGGCAGACATGTGCTGTCATGCTCCACTATGATCTGTTTATTAGGAGAATGGATTATACTTTTTCCTAGAAGTCTTAAATTTTCTACTATTTATAAATTCTGCCACCTACTAAGGGCTTTAGAGCTTCTAGACCCTCCAGTTTAGGAGCTGGGAGCATAGTTCAGGTAGAGCTAGACTAGGATCAGTCCTGAGTACTGAACACACACACACACACACACACACACACACACACACACAATAAACCCTCCTCAAAGAGTCACATTCTTTTAAAAAAAAAAGTGTGGGTGTGAGGAGTGGAGCTTTTGGCAGGATCCTGCCAGGATTAGGGTTGCTGTGATGTGATTGCTAAAGCACCCCCTCCTCAGAGTTGCTGCCATGTTCCATATTCTCTAATGCGCATGAATTGTGGTGTTGCAAAGCTGCTTCAGCAGCAGTGTGTAAAGCTGTACCATGTCCTCTCCCTGCCATCTCACCCAGCTGGAGGAGAAGCTGAGGGACCTCGTGGATGGGATGCTATGTTGGCTTTGTTGTAATGGACAGTTAGGATGTCCTGGCTGTGTAGTGGGCCTGCCCCTTGCAGCTTCTTGCCCTCAAAGCCTTGTCATCTGGCTGGTTCCTCTCTGTCTGTGCCTCTCCCATTGGGGTTAGACTTGTGAGCATAGCTTGTGCGGCAGCTGTGGGTCCAGAGGCCTCTGTCCTAGCTTGGGAGCTCACTCGGGGACCACTGCCCTTATCATGAGCTGGCTGTGACTGAGGTCTTTGCTCATGCTTGTTTCACAGATTGGCCATGACTGAGGCTTGGGTGGTGTCACAGTGAACACTCAGGCAGCCTGCAGGTGTCACTTCAGTGTCCCCAGGAAGCCATGACATAAGAGGAATCGCGGCTCATGTTTGATCTGCCCTGCTTCCTTGTGTCTGTCCACAGTATTACAGTGTGAGCACTAATAAAACCTTTGCTATTGTTGTCCTGCCCCTAGGCTTGTGGGACTGTGGCTTCTCAGGATGGATACCTAGCCCCAGGGGTGGAACAGGCTTTCGTGAACCTGGCTGTGGCTGCCTCTCTGCATACTGGGCCGTGTTTCTCTTGACCATGGATCTGGTAGTTTTGCTTGTTTTGGGTTTTGTTTTGACTGGGGCCGGCTCTCTCTGTGTTGCTCAGATTAGTTAGTTTTGAACTCATTGGCTCGAGTGTGGCTCTTGTTACTTCTAGGCCCTTGGGAAGCTTGAGCCAGATGGTAATAATTGCATTAACATGCACCAAACCTACCGCTGTCTATCATTGATCCACAGTGTCTTGAGAGTGGATGCTTGGTGTACTTGGGTGCTATGGAATTGAACTACCTCCAAAAACTTGAGGAAAATATTTTCAGTCTAGACTTTACCAATGAGACCTGTGAGGTAGATGAGCTATGGCAGGTACTGTGCCATTGGCACCTTTTCTCACACATGACAAACAACCTGTCTCCTTTCTGTCAGTCTTACTGCTCTGGGGAGGTTGTTCTAGAGACTTGCTGAAGTATTTAGTTATGGATGTGTGTACATGCATACTGCATGTGTGGAGAGGTTAGATGATAACTTGAGGGAGTCTGTTCTCTCCATCTTATGGGTTCTGGAACTCAAATTCAGGTTATCAGGCTTGTAGAGCAAGCACATTTACCTGCTGAGACGTCTTGCTAACCCTGCATAGTGGCATTTTCATATGTTCTTTCTCTAGCATTTGCTCCAAGCCTTAGGTCTTTTCCTGCTGTTCCACCTCTCTCCCCTGCAGCCCTCTGTACTTTCCCTCCTGCCTCTCATTGTTTGGGTATTTTGCTCTGCTCACAGGTGCCTGGTTCCCCCAGAGAAACTGATTATAATTGCATTCTTTTGAACCTGAAATGATCTCGTGCTGATCAGTGCTGATTCAGAGCTTGAGGTTCCTGCCCTGGATTATCCTTTTGCAGTCAGAGGACAGCATCCCTTGTGACTCAGTCTCTTGACTGCTAGCATCACAGGCAGCCCAGGCCAAGGAAGTTTATTTATTTATTTATAAAGACAGAATCTCACTATGAAGCCCTAAGTAACCTGAAACTCACTATGTAGATCAGACTGGCCTCAAACTCACAGAGATCCTCCTGTCTCTGCCTCCTGAGTTCTGGGATTTGAAAGTGTGTGCCACTACTTAAGGAAGGTTTTATAAACCTCTTAGGAGCCCTCAGCCTCTCAGTCTCCCTGCAGCTGTGTAGATGACACCCTTTAACTTATCCATATCTCTCTTCACTCGACCCTGGTGTGTTTTGTGCTGGATGTCCAAGGCTGGGCCATTGGTTAAGAAGAGATTTGCCTCTTGTAAGCTCTGGTGGTTGGGAAGGCCAAGCAGGACACCTACATCTGGCCAGGCATAGGGAGTGGGCAGAACACTCCCCTGTGGGGACAGGGTGATAGCAGCCTGATGCTTCAGAGTATGGAGCCCCCTTCTTGACTATTACTTCTCCCAGTTCTCACTGGGGTTGATGCTGCCTGCATTTGAGCTTCAGCCTCCATAAAACACCAACATAGGAAAGCCCTTTTCATATAGTTACTTTTTGGGGGGGGGGGCAGGGTCTCACTACATAGTCCAGGTTGTCTTGACTCGCAAGACTTCTGCCTCAGCCACCCCTCTGTCCAATTCTGTGAGACCCCACTGCTGCATAGTGGCTGTTTACTTCCTCACTGGGGTAGTTTGCTCCCCCAGATGACTTCTTCCTCCCCATAGAGGAGTATCCTGTTGAGGCCAGTGAGGGACGGAGGTGGTAGGTAGAGCCCGATAAGTAACCTTACTTTCCGGGCGTGTTCTGGGCTGAACAAGGGGTGTCATTGGTGTGCAATGGAGGACTCTTGGCTTTCCACATAGATGAGTGGATGCTTTCAGTGTGAGGCTGTCTCCATCCTGGAGGATGCTGCAGCATGAATCTGTGTGCTGTCACTTGTCGGGAGACTGGCAGAGGACAGGACGGGTGCATTCTGGTGACTCAGGGTCACATCCAGAAACTCCACCCACACACTGGGTGAGGAAGGAGGCTCTACCACTGCCTCTCCCTTGGCAAGCCTCAGTGCTGGGGTTTGGCTTTGCTCTGGCTGCCAGGTGCACACATTTTTACCAGAACCAGGGTGTATTTTGGTGATGGCAAAACATTGTGTATTGTCACCTTAGGAGTCTGGCAGGAGACCACTTGACCCTAGGAGTTCAAGAGGAGCTTGGGACTGGGTGTGAGTTTCTGCCTCTAATATCAGCACTCAAGAGCCAGAGTCAAGGGGATCACTAGGAGTTTTAAGGCCAACCATGGCTATCTAGCAGTGTCTTGTTCCAACACAAATGAAACAAAACAACCAAAGGCCAGCTTGGACAACACCTGAAGAGGAAAAAGCCCAAAACAGGAGGGTACTTTTGTGCTGTCAGGCCATATGTCCACTTGTGACCACTTTCTGACTTTTCTGTTCTGTTCAGATTCCCAGTGGAAATCCATTATATGAATCTTACTACAAGCAGGTATGTCTAATTGTTATCTTCTTGTTTTACATTTTAATTTATTTTACTGTGTAGGTGTGAATGTGTTCACTTGTGCCATCGTGTGCCTGTAGCAGTCAAGGAACAATTCTTGGGATCAGTTCTCTCCTTTTGCCACGTGGGTCCCAGAGATCAAATTCAGGCTGTCAGACTTGGTAGCAGGAACCTTTGTCCACTGACCATCTCTCCAGTCCACCAGTGCCTTTTTATATATTATGTATGTAATCATGTGTGCATGTGTGTGCTAGTACTGGAGATGGAACCCAGAGGCACCCATCTTTGTTGTTGAAGTTGGGAACACACTTAAAGCAACTTTTTGTGAGCACATATGGAGACAGCATCAGTAAGTGGTTGTGTTGACTCCTGTGAACACACATGGAGATAGCTTAGCTACCTCTGCATCTGTAAGTGGTTGTGTCGACTCTTGCTGTCCTTTTTCAGGTGGACCCTGCCTACACAGGGAGAGTTGGGGCCAGCGAGGCTGCGCTGTTTCTGAAGAAGTCAGGGCTCTCTGACATCATCCTGGGGAAGGTAGGGAAGATGAAGCATAGCCTCCTAGCTATGCAGACCCTCACTGGGTAGGGCCAGGACACTCAGAGCTTCTTGGCTGTAGCTGTGGAGCTAAAGGCCTTTAGAACTAACCTTTCAGCTGGGCGGTGGTGGCGCACGCCTTTAATCTCAGCACTCGGGAGGCAGAGGCAGGTGGTTCTCTGTGAGTTCGAGACCAGCCTGGTCTACAAGAGCTAGTTCTAGGACAGGCTCCAAAACCACAGAGAAACCCTGTCTCGGAAAAAAAAAAAAAAAAAAAAAGAACTAACCTTTCAATCCCATCCCTGCATTTGAGAGGCTAAGGCAGAAGGATCATGAGTTCCCAGCCAGCCTGGGCTACATAGTATAACCTGTTTTGAAAAAATAAATCAAAGCAACAGTGCTAAGCATGGCAGAGAGCTCCCGTAATCCCAGCTCTCTAGAGGCAGAGGGCTATGGATCTCTGGAGTTTGAGGTCAGTCTCAGATGGTGGTCCCCGTCAAGGTAGAGTGCTTCTGGTGTCTTGATAGCTGTGGGTTTGCATTGCCATGTAATGACTGAATAGGGAGCTAAGTGGGCATCTGGGGTTCTTTGGGCCCTGCCACCAAATGGCTGTGTGCCTGGCAGAGTTATTGGTCCCAGCGCCCATGGCAGAGAAGCAGTTAATGTGACTTGTGATGATAGTCATACTTACAGGCATTTTTATGTCTCCACAGATATGGGACTTGGCGGACCCTGAAGGTAAAGGGTTCTTGGATAAACAGGTATATACACATACACAGAACAGGGGAGGGGCTGGGCAACTTGTACATTTCTTCCACTGTCTGCTATCATCCACACACAGCTGCCAGGCTCAAGTGAGGAATTCTCACTTTGGAGTACAGGTCTGTAAGTATCCAGCCCCTGACTCGGTGACATGCCTTTGACTGTCTTGGGACTGTCTCAGCCTCTTTACCTGCTGGTGTCATAAAATTGCCCTGACAGAAGCAGCTCTGGTGAAAGGGCACCTGTGGCTCACAGCTCCAGGCACAGCCACTTGGGACAAGTCAAGCTGGAACCTGAAGTAGCTGGTCACATCCAGTCAGAAGCACAGGGACCTGAATGCTCTCTTGTGTTCATTCAGCCCAGGGCCTAGCCCAGGGGTGTTGTACCCACACATCCCAGGAACCTCTCACAAGCCCACCTAATTGAAGCAGCTCCTCACTGAGACTTCTTCTGAGGTAGTTCCCATTGTGTCACTAAACAGCAAGGGGGCTGGAGAGAGGACTCAGCTGTAACCAAGTTCAGGTACCAGCACCTACATTTGTCAGCTTACAGCCACCTCTAACTCCAGCTCTGAGGGATCTGATGCCTTCTTCTGGCCTCTCAGAGCACCCACCCTTACATACATGTATACATACATATACACCTTTAAACAAAACAAACCTAAACATCGTGATGAATTTACCAGTAATTAAAGCACTTTAAAGATTTAAGGCAATTAAAATAAATTGTACTGTGTATGGTAGTGCACACCTTTAATCCCAACACTCAGGCAGCAAAGGCAGATGGATAGATCTCTATGAGTGTGTGGCCAGCCTAGTCTACATATGGAGTGCCAGGCCACCCAGGACTACACAGTGAGACTTTGTCTCTTAAAAAAACCAACCAAACAAAAAACCCCACAGGAGTGGAGGAGAGACTAGAAAAAAAAAATTGTGTGTGTATGTGTCCAGACCATGGAGGTCAGAAGGAGGTGCTAGATCCCCTGGAGGTGAGGTGATCGGCAGTTGGGAGCTGCCTGATTGGGGTGCTGGGAACTGAACTCTGCGGGAGAAGCATGTGCTCTTAACCACAGAGCTATGTCTTCAGCCTAAAAGACTTTTTTTTTTTTTTTGGAGACAGGGTTTCTCAGTAGCTTTTGGTTCCTGTCCTGGAACTAGGCTGGCCTTGAACTCACAGAGATCCTCCTGCCTCTGCCTCCCGAGTGCTGAGATTAAAGGCGTGGGCCACCACTGCCCGGCCAAGACTGTTGTTTTTCAAAGTAATTTTAGAATTCTCTAAAGAGACCAAGTGTAGTTGAGTGGGTTCCTACACACCCTTTCTAGCCCATGTTTGTAGCCAGCTCTTCCCAGGGATGCCTGGTCACACAATTCCAATGCTGTGTCACTGCTGTGGTTACAGCACTAACCAGGGCTTGCAGCCAGGCCGGGTGTACCATGGCAGTGTGTACAGATCAGCCTGACTCTCAAGCCTCCCCTTGGAGCCCTGGGATCTGCTCTTCAGGAGTATTCTGAGTGGAATTGTGTTTGTTCTGAAGTTCTGGCTGTGGGAGCCTTACACAAGGCTTTACTGTGCTGTGCTCACAGGGCCTGGGTGCAAGTGAGTTCCCCAGCTCTTCCCCCAAGGTACCATCTGAACTGCTCTGTGTCCTAAGGCCTCAGCCTGTTCGTCTGCTGGCCACTGACCACCAGCACTTCCCGCCCTTGTGATTGGGTTGCTCGGCCGCTTAGTGAAGGTGCTGAGGGACCTGATTTGATCCCTCTGACCATCATCCTGCCCTGTTTTCATGTGATTCTCCACAGCTCCTGTGAACATCTCTATGAAAGGCGTAGCTCTCTCCCCATGTTCTTACGCCAGGAGAGAAGCTCTGCTGTAGGGTGCACACCTGTGTCACTGATAAAACCACAAGCACCTGGAGAGGAAGGGTTACTTGATTTACAGATTACAGTCCATCATTGAGGAAAACCAAGAACTCCGGGCAGGAACTGGAGCAGAGGCCATGGAGGATCAGTGCTTCCTGGCTTGCTTCCCTGGCTTGCTCCATATGGCTTGCCCAGCCTGCTTTCTTACAGAATTTAGGACTGCCAGCCCAGGGGTGGCACTGTCTGTGTGAATCATTAATTAGGAAGGTGCTCCACAGACAGGTCCACAGGCCAGTCTGATGGAGGCAGTTCCTTGATCAAGGTTCTTTTTCAGCTGACTTTATTTTCTGCTAGTTGACAACTCATCACAGAACACAGGTCCTGCTGGCACTCAGGAGGCTGAGGCAGAAGAATTGAGAGTTCCCCTTTAGACTCAACTGCGTAGTTAAAGAACCTGTTTCTAAAAAGGAAGCCAGAGGAATGCTTACTGTTCTTGCAGAGAATTGAGTTCAGGCCCCAGTACCCCAGGGCAGGACTGCTTACAACTGCCTGTACCTCTGGGCTCTGAGGGTGGCACACACCTTTAATCCTAGCACTTGGGAAGCAGAAGCAGGCAGATCTTTGAGTTTGAGGCCAGCCTGTTCTACAGAGCAAGTTCCAGGACAGGTGCCAAAGCTACACAAAGAAACCCTGTCTTGAAAAACCAACAAAAGAAAAAGAAAGAAAAAGGAGGTCAGTGAGATAGTCCCTCTGGTGAAGGTGCTGCCAAGCCTGATGACCCGTGTTCAGTTCCTAATCCCTAGACTCACATGGTGGAAGAAGAGAGCTGAATTCCCTCAGGATGCACATGACCCCTCTTCCCAAATAAATACTAATAGTTTCTTTCCTTTCCTTTCCTTTCCTTTCCTTTCCTTTCCTTTCCTTTCCTTTCCTTTCCTTTCCTTTCCTTTCCTTTCCTTTCCTTTCCTTTCCTTTCCTTTCCTTTCCTTTCCTTTCCTTTCCTTTCCTTTCCTTTCCTTTCCTTTACTTTCCCTTCCCCTTTCCTTTCCCCTTTCCTTTCTTTCATTTTTTGAGACAGGGTTTCTATGTAGCAATGGAGCCTGTCCTGGAACTAGCTCTTGTAGACTAGGCTGGCCTTGAACTCACATAGATCCATCTGCCTGCCTCTGCCTCCTGAGTGCTGGAATTAAAGTAGCCGGGTGGCTACTAATAGTTTCTTTAAGCAAAAAATTTAAATCCAGTACCTGGGCTGAGGCCCGGTTTAGGAGAAAAGTTCTGGCATGGTATTCCTGAGGCTTCAGGTCCTATGCTTGCTCTACAAAAACAGAAACAAAGCGGGCTGTGTATATTTGAGCTGTCAGTCATTGTGAGCTTGTGGACCACTCCAGCATTGTGACCTAGGAGCATTGCCTTTGAGAAAATCCCTTTGCTTGAAATGTTTCAATGCTCAGTACTCACCTATGGTATGCCTGCTATGGTGTCTGTGGTCATCACAGTGGAAATGAGAGCTGTTCTGTCCTGCCTTATGCTGTTCATGCCTCCTCTTTTTGGGTCCACAGGGTTTCTATGTTGCACTGAGATTGGTGGCCTGTGCACAGAGTGGCCATGAAGTCACCTTGAGCAATCTGAGCCTCACCATGCCACCACCGAAATTTGTGAGTGTGCAAGCCATCATACTCTCTTGGTACCGTGTGTGCATATCTGTGTGAGTGATGTTTTCTCTTCTTGTCTTTCCTGTGAGATGCGTATATCATAAAATTCCCCATGTTTTACATGCGCAGTTCAGCTAGCATGGTAGCACGCCTTTAATTCCAACATTCGGAAGGCAGAGGCAGGTGGATTTCTGAGTTTTAGGCCCTAGGCCTGCCTGCTCTACAGAGCTAGTTCCAGACAGCCAGGGCTATACAGAAAAACCCTGTCTTGAAAATAAAACAAAATAAATAAAATGCATAGTTGGGTAGCCCTTAACATATTACAGTGTCGTGCAGCCGTTAGCCTGAGTTCCAATTCTCACCTCCCAAAAGGAAGACTTTGGGCCATGTCTTATTCTTGGTCTCCCCATCTCCCCATCCTTGGTAGCCACCCATCTTCTTTCTGTGTAGGCTCTTTTCTGATGCTGCTCTCAGTGGAGTCACACAGAGTATGGCCTTGTGTGTACATCTTTCACTTAGTCTGCCCAGATCAGGACACTGTACTGTTGTGACTGTGGCTGTTCTGTCCCTGTCCGTTTGCTGAGCTCTGTGATGTTGCCTCCACCTTTGGCTGTTGGGAGCAGCACAGCCGTGAATGGATTTGCGTGTGCACCTGTGGGTTTACACCTGGGAGGGGAGCTGTGGAGTCATACGTCATTCCCTGTTTGTGACCTTCCCACTTTGGAATGAGATCCTTTTGGTTGTGTTTGCATATGTGATCCTGTCCTTTTTTTCCTCAGCATGACACTAGCAGCCCATTGATGGCCACACAACCGTCTACAGAGACCCACTGGGCTGTGCGCGTAAGTGAGGGGGACAGTGCCATAGTTGATGCGCGCCGTGTGTTTTGTTTGGAACATTCAGAAGCACCTTTGCCATCTCTGTGTCTTCATAGAATCGGAGGATCATATCTGTGCTTGGATTTTTGTTTTTAAGATTTTATTTTTAATTGTTTGTATGTTTGTGGTGGGTATGTTGCCCTTGAAGACCAAAGACAACAGGGTTGGGGGAGTGGGGGGCGGCCTGGAGCTGGAATTACCAGCTATTGTGAGCCACCTAACTTGGGCATTGGAAGCTGCACTTGGCTACTCTTAACCTCTGAGTTATCTCTCCAGCCCTTGTTTATTTTGTTTTTTGCTTATTGAGAAAGGGTCTCATGTCATCCAGTCTGACATCAAGCTCAACCTGTAGCTAAAGCAGCTCCCATCTTCTGATCCTCTGCCTCTGCCTCCCTAGGATGGGGAGGGCAGGCACTCTCGGCTTGAAAAATTAAGTTTCACATTCTTTCAGTGTAGCTGGCAGCTGTGTAGGAGCAAAGGAGCTGAGGATCTGAGGTTATAGTTAATTTCTGTGCTCTCAGGCTGCATCTGGGGCTGTGTTGCTTGTATTGGTTTTTCAAGATAGAGAAGAGACACACTGCTATACAGCCGTCCAGCTCTGCCGTGACCCATCTTCCCTCTCTGAGATGCCTACTGCTCTGCAAAAAACTCACCCGGCTCTTAAGGTGTTCCTTTTCCACCTAGAAGGACAATGTGGTCCTGCCCCTTGGAAGGACAAACAAGCATGGTGGCTGTCTTAGTGTCTATTTCAGTGAGGAGACACCGTGGCCACTACAGCTCTTAGAAAGGAGAGCATTTCAGTGGGGATTGCTTATAGTTTCAGAGGTTTAGTCTATCAGCGTGACAGGAAACCTGGTGGCATGTAGACAGACGTGGTGCTGGGGAGGAGCTGAGAGTTCTATATCTGTATCCACAGGCAACAGGGGAGGAAGAGCCACTGGACCTGACTTGGGCTTTTGAACCCTCAAAGCCCACCCACAGTGACACTTCCTCCAACAAGGCCACACCTACCTCAACAAGGCCACAACTCCTAATAGTTCCACTTCTTGGTGACCAAGCATTCAAATCTATAAGCCTTTGGGGGGGGGGTCCATTCTCATTTAAACCACCACATTTCTACATCCTGGCCCCCATAGGCTTTGTAGCTATAATACATTCAGTCCAATTTCAAAAGTCTCCAGTCTGTCACAGTCTTCACACTGTTTGAAAGTCCAAAGTCTCTTCTGAGACTCATGACAACCTCTTTGTCTGTCTGTCTGTCTGTCTGTCCTTACAGGGTTTCTCTGTGTAGTCCTGGCTGTCCTGGAACTCACTCTGTAGACCATGCTGGCCTCAAACTCAGAGATCCGCCTGCCTCTGCTTCTCAGTGCTAGAATTAAAGATGTGTGCCACCATGCCTGGTCCTAAACTTATCTTTAATTTCTTTTCACAAGTTGGAAGTTTAGCTGCTTGAAGTCACCTCTCCCTTTATTTCACTGAGCACTGTACTAACTCCATTACACTTTCTAATGCCCTTTTTCTCCTTGAACTGGACCTCTTGTGATTTTCCTTGCTCAGCTTGCTTCTTTTTTTTTGTTAGATCTGAATGAGAGTGACTACTACCAATAGTCAGGCTGCGGAGGTGCACACCTTTAGTCCTAGCACTCAGGAGGCAGAGGCAGGAACACAAATGCGCTTCTTGCCCCTCTTCTGGACTTGTCCTGCTCTTTCATTAAACAATAGTTTGAATCACTTTTGCCTTGCTAAGAGAAGAGGAAGGAACCTATGACTATCTCAGGGCAAGTAAAAAAAAAAATCAGAAAGCTGGACCGGGCAGTGGTGGCACACACCTTTAATCCCAGCAGGTTTCTGTACATTCTGTAAATTCAAGGCCAGCTTGGTCTACAGAGCAAGTTCCAGGACAGTCAGGACTACACAGAAAAATCCTGTCTTAAAAGACAAAAAGGAAAAAGTGAGAGAGTGACCTGTTGTTGGGTTTTCTTTTACTCTAGCCCCATGTTGGAACACTAAAATGTTGTTTTTTTACTCTTTTGGCTTTTTTTTGTGGGGCCTGCCACTCAACTGTCAAATCACGTGGAGGCTTATCCTTAATTATAAACGCCTGGCCTTTGCTTTTCTAACTTGAATTATCCCAACTACCTATTGTTTCTGGGCTTTTCCTTTTCTTACTTCTGTATATCTTACTTTCACTCTTACTTCTCCACAGCTGGCTGGGTGACTGGCCTCTGATATCCTCCTCTGCCTATGCTTGGACAGACCTTGAGATTCTCAGGAAGGGCTTTGCCACCAAACTATGCCCTTAGCCCTGTTTAGTTTGTTTCTCTGACACAGGATCTCCTGTAGCCCAGTCTGACTTCAAATCTCTATATAGCCAGGAATGACCTTGGGCCCCCACCTCCACCTCCTCAGTCCTGGGATTGCAGATGGGCCCTGTGGTTTATGCAGTGCTGGGGATGGAGCCCAGGGATTTTTGTGTATGCTTCACTGAACCACAGCACACTTTTTTTTTTTTTTTTTTTTTTTTTTTTTTTTTGGTTTTTCGAGACGGGGTTTCTCTGTGGCTTTGGAGCCTGTCCTGGAACTAGCTCTGTAGACCAGGCTGGTCTCGAACTCACAGAGATCCGCCTGCCTCTGCCTCCCGAGTGCTGGGATTAAAGATGTGCGCCACCACCGCCCGGCTCACAGCACACTTTTTAAAACTTCTTTCTTAGTGATGAGATTAGAATTTAAGGCTTCACTGTGCTGAGCCCCATCACAGCTTATGCTTGAACTTTGAGAAGCAAGACTTCTGCTCTTTAAATTGAAGACAGGGTCTCCCCATGTAGCACAGGCTAGCCTGAAGCCCTTCATCTTCCTAGCTCCATCTTGAGTGTTGGAATGAGAAGTATGAGCCATTGGCCCCACTAGAGGTTGATTTGGACCGTGTTTGCTACCAAACTAGACATCTAATGAGGTTCCTTGAGCCTGCAAAAGCATCGCCCTATTTGGCTAGGTCCCTTTTGCCATGAGGCAGAGCAAGATATGGACCAGCTTCTCTTCTGCTCACCATGGCCCCCAGGCCACAGTGCCAGGGAGCTATCCCCCCCCCCCCCAGGCCATAAATTCTCCATCCCCAGCTTGCTCACCCTAGAACAGCTGAGCTCTGTATAGACAAGCCTGGATTTGAAATCAAACTGTGTACTCTGTACTCATTCTAGCTCCTTCTTTCCTGGTAGGTGGAGGAGAAGGCAAAGTTTGATGGCATCTTTGAAAGCCTTCTACCAGTCAATGGTTTACTCTCCGGAGACAAGGTCAAGCCAGTCCTTATGAACTCGAAACTCCCTCTGGATGTGCTGGGCAGGGTAAGGCCTGGGTGCTGTCCCGTCCCGTCCTGTACTGTGGTGTGTCTGTCCGCTAACAGTCACCTTTTCCTCCCACCGTGCACTGTGCCACCAGGTGCGCCCTATGTGTCTGGCTCTTCTGTAGTTGGAGGATCAGGACTGCTCTTCTGCTGCTGGGAAGATACTGGCATCCATCTTCTTATGACAAGAGGCAGGGGCAGAAGGGAGATGGCTAGATGTACCTGTGAGAGCAGAGCCGGCTCCAAGCCTGCCCAGCACTGAACCCCTTTCTTTTGGGTATTTGTTTCTTTCCATTTCTTTTTAAGAAGGTGTCTGCACAGGAGTAGATGTACATGAGGACTTCAGAAGACAACCGTGGGTGCACTCTTCAACTGCTGGCTACTGTTTTTTAGACAGGGTCTCTCCCTGGGCCTGGAATGTACTAAGTAGCTGGCTGGCCAAGAGTCCAGGCTTCATTGTCTCTGTTTCCCCAGTACTGGGGTTACAAGTGCATGCTACCACACCTAGCTTTGAAGAACAAGTGACATTTTTTTTTTATTTTGAGATTTCATTGTGTTTCCCTGGTTGACTTGAAACTTATTATATAGACAATATTGGCCTTGAATTCACAGAAATCTGTTTGCCTCTGCCTCCCAAGTGCTGGATTAAAAGCGTGTGCCACCATGCTATCTATATTTAAAAATTAAGTGTGTGCATGATAGTATGTGTGCACACACAGTATGTGTGCACACCGCTGTGTATCTGTGAAGATCAGAGGACCTAGGGAATCAAACTGAGCTTGTTAGGCTTTGCGGCAGCACCTTTACCTGCTGAGCCATTTCATTGGCCTTTGTCTTCTGTTTTTTAAGCAGATGCTTTTTCCTGCCTGTTAGTTTTGAGGTTTAAGCATTTTCAGCTCTGTTGCGGGTTTAGAAATAGCCTTAGATACTCCTTTTTTGGTTTTATCATACCCCATCTTGACTGGGGATAACCTTAAATTCCCAATCCACCTCCATAGTGCATTTCATCTATCTATCTATCATCTATCTACCTATCTATCTATCTATCTATCTATCTATCTATCATCCATCTATCTATCTATTATCTATCTATCTATCTATCTATCTATCTATCTATCTATCTACCTATCATCTATCTATCTATCATCTATCTTTCTGTCTGTCTATCTATCATTTATCTGTCTATCTTTTCATCTATCTATCTATCTATCTATCTATCTATCTATCTATCTATCTATCATCTGTTGAAATAAGAGCGGTGGGGCTGCGTCCCCAACACCCCGGCCGCTTGGCTAGCTCATGCCCGAAATAACAACACACAAACTGTATTCAGTTAAACACTGCTTGGCCCATGAACTCTAGCCCTTACAGGCTAATTCTCGCACCTGGACTAGCCCATTTCTAATGATGTGTGTAAGCACCCCAAGGTGCGCTTACCGGGAAGATTCTAGCCTC